TACTTCATCTCAGAAATATTGACAGACTAGCAGTAGAGTCCGGCGTTGCCCGGGGATGTAACAGTAAGAGATAGATCAAGAATCGACCATCATAAACATTGAAAAATAAAATTGACAAAGATTATTGTTTAAGGTTGACGGACACGCATGTCTGAATTAGTTTTTTTTGTTTGTTTTTTGTTTGTTTGTTTTATTTTTTATTTTTACGAAATGGTCAAACACAATCTCAAACAAAAACATTGTTTTCAATCGTTATGAGTCTACCGATTGAATAGAATTTTATTATAAACAATTGTCTTGTAAATGGAATTTTTAAAGCATTCTGAATGTAAAAATAAAGAAAAAAAAGTGTGCAAGACAATAAGAAACACTACCTGCCAAAAAAAAGTGAAGTTTTGTTGAAATCTGTTGAAAATTGTAGGAAATCCGATCCCATATATAAACGAACACACAAACACACACACACACACAAACAAACAACCTGGGTTTTATAATAAGTATAACTCGATATGAGTTGTCCACCTTTCATTCTCGCGACAGCGATGCCTCTTAATCGTGTTTTCGAATTGATTTCGTGCAAAAACAATTGTGTATTTCCAATTTTTGGCGCAGTCAGAACCACGGCAAGGTAATTTTACGTAGTTCTGTGAAGTTTTGTTGAAATCGGTTGAAAAATGTAAACCTGAAATATGATCAACACACACACACACAAACACACACACACACACACACACACACACACACACACACACAACCTGGGTTTTATAATAAGTATGATAAAGAAGAGGATATTATTCCGAATTATTAGCGGAGTATTTTGAGGTACGCTAATGTGCCATTACCTTAGGTATGTAGTTTAGCTTATCGATTAAAGGGCTAAAAGCGTTCATGGAAGAAGTAATATATACAAGGGTAATGAATAAATATAGATCATTCATAGATCAGCTTTTCTTTTTACTACTACTTTCTTCGTCTGTTTTGTATTCTATTCAATAGAAAAATATTTTTATTTCAGATTGTTCCCTATTTTTTTGCCAGTAATATTTCTATTTAGTTCTACTTCATGTTTTTGGTAATTCTAGGTCGGAACGATTTGTCATTGTTTTTTTACAACCATAAAATGTTCCTTGATTTTTTTTTTATTTGTGTTTGTTTTCTCTTTTCTATTTTCGAAAGAGCAACAAACTGACATTTAAGAAACGACAAGAGTTAACAATACTTACAAAAAGAGCAAATCTTTAGACATGTCTATAATTTAGGCGTTTATTTAAGAGTCCTCAGAACCATTACCATTTGGTTTTACTTCTGACTGTCTCTTCACCCACATCTAATTAATATGGTGTATATATATATATATATATATATATATATATATATATATATATATATATATATATAGAGAGGAGAGTTAGAGAGAGAGAGGCAAAAACAAAACGAAAAAAAAAACACATAAATGAGATTGTACAGAAACTTTATGTTTATATATATATATATATATATATATATATATATATATATATATATAAATATAAAAGTTTGTTTTTCTATATATATATATATATATATATATATATATATATAAAATCTCATATGTGTGTATATATGTGAGTTCCTTTTTCTATTTTATACTCTTGTAGAAGTATTTATTTACATCCCTCGTTCAATTTTAATTTATATTATTAAAATTTGTCTTTTAATCGCGTTTCACCTTTCCCTCCTCATTCACTTCATTAAGTTGTCTTTTTATTCATTTATATCTAATATTGCCAACGAATATCTTTGAAAAAGCGTTGGCCGAAAGTTGCCTTAGGTATGACGTCCATTTTATTTAAAGCTATATATATATATATATATATATATATATATATATATATATATATATATATTATTATAGGTGCAGTTTAATTTATAATTACATGAATCATTCATACAAAAAAATATAGAGGTTAATGATTTAAATGGCGAGAATACATCTTCGCAAACAATTTCAATAAGTTACACTAACCCCGAACCTGTATATGAATGATATGATCGCTGTTTATAAATTCATGTTTCATAAGGTCTTTTTTAGTTTTTACAAGCTTGCGTTTGTTCCTACAGACATCCTCATGTATGGAAATAGATTTGTTCTTGTATTTTACTTCTCGGTAATAAGAGGACAGCGAAAATAGAGATGTAATTCTAAAAAATGCTATGAGTAATGTATTATTATTTTGGAACGTTCAGTTGCAAAGCTGAGTTTGAATTTTAAATTTTAAGGTTGTGCGTTTTTGTACAAATATAGTAATAAGAGAATTCTTTTGTACTGGTAGGTTTTCCGTCAATGTGGCATGAACTATATTGTTCAATAATTACAGAAATGTCACACTTATTATGCGAAAGTTGCACGTTGGATCAGTTATTTTAATTTCGATTATAGGTGCAGTTTAATTTATAATTACATGAATCATTCATACAAAAAAAACAAATATAGAGGTGGATGATTCATGTAATTATAATTATATATATATATATATATATATATATATATATATATATATATATATTATGGCATTAAAGTCAAGAATTGTTTTACTATAGGCCATGATAAATTTTAAAACAAAAAAAACGGACACAAGTCGACCGGTTTCGTCTCCTCTCATCAGAACTGTAAACGGGGAAATAAATTATGAGAAGAAAGTCTGTCGCGGATAACGTGAATGAATGGACAGGGGAAAAATATAATAATAAAAGTTATAACACCAAAGATGCTACAGACACAGCACCGCAAGCCATTCGAAATACATACGGGTCTTGTAGAGCGGATCTCTTGATAAATAATCTGACCTGTGCTTCGGATTTTAGTGTTAGCTGGTTCTCTGTTCTCGTTATTCCATCTGAGGGTGTTGGAGACGCTGTTCATCAGGTCCAGGCGACCCGCTCTTTGTAAACAAAGAGACTATTTGCTTGGGCTTTCGGTGCTGTGTCTCTAGCATCTTTGGTGTTATAACGTTTATTATTATATTTTCTCCCTGTCCATTCATTCACGTCATCCGCGACATTTATTATGCCATAATACGCTTTTGTACCGTTAAAAGCATATTTAAAAATACATATATATATATATATATATGTTTAATAGCTTTCCAAACTATATAGTTGATGAACAAATAAGATGCTTTCTTAGAAATCTCAATACTAAGCAAATTGTACATAATACTGCTTCTACTGATCTCAAACATATTAATCTCCCATATCGTAATCAAATGCATACTAATTATAAACAAGATGAAAATATACTAAAAAATTTAGTAAATACTAATACATCAACAACAGATCCTAGCAAAAAAATTAAGTTAATCATATACTACACTAAACCTAGTAAATCCAACTTAATTCTTCGCAATGATTCCTCTCCCCCGGTTAGCGATTTGCAAAAAAACAACATAGTTTACAAATTCAAGTGCCCTTTGGGAGATTGTATCTCTAACGGATTAAATAATATTTATGTTGGTCACACCACAAACTCACTTTCACGACGCTTGACATTACATCTAAATGAAAACTCTAACATTAATAGGCATTTAAAACAACATGCCTGCCCGCACACAGAATTCCGTAAAATACTTGTCGAAAACACAATTATACTTCGACATGAAATCAATAGACAAAAACTAAAAATCCTTGAAGCAATACACATCAAACAGTTGAAACCCAAACTAAACAAAATCTATTATGGCATCTCTACAAATATTTTTAAATGTCTATAATTGGTAACAGAAGCCATTGGTTTATACCAACGACTTGCCATACTTCATAATCCTCCAATTCATTCTCGTGTGGTCATGTGTGACGTCATGAGATGCGTTGCGATTTTCGCTTCTAGCGTCTTATATGCACGTTTTATCGTTGCTTAGAAATCATCTATGTAAACAATGACAGACTATCATCACTGTCTTGTCCGTATATTGTTTAATATGTTGTAATTGACATCTTTGATAATGGCTTATGTAAGCCGAAAGCTTCGATTGTATTAAAAAAATATGGATCAATATTGTGAATTTTTTCTTCGTTCAACGATAATGTTATTAAACTTATCAGACGTTACGAAAAAAAATTACATAAAATAAATAGACAACACTTGTCTATATTATTTAATGAAACGTGTATGAATGAAGAGATCCTGCCTAAATAAACACTATATATATATATATATATATATATATATATATATATATATATATACTTAGATATTTTGTGTACGTTTGTATGTGTTTTTTTGTGTTTGATATCAAATAAAAAGTAAAAGACCTATATATTTTTCACTAGATTCAGTGGGCTAATATACATATATATATATATATATATATATATATATATATGTGTGTGTGTGTGTGTGTGTGTGTGTGTGTGTGTATGTGTAAAACTGAAACATTCTCCTCATCTGCCGAGTTTAGATAACTTACGAAGAAAATGAATTACTTGGAAAATCGGTAGCTCATTGCAGAGTTAAAATGGACTGGGGAACACCATGATTTTTAGATTAAAATTAGAAGTTTTTATGTAAAAATTATATACAAACATATATGTGATTATTCAGAAATAGACTGGTTATATATATATATATATATATATATATATATATATATATATATTTCAGTCTATTTATATATATATATATATATATATATATATATATATATATATATATATATATATATATATATATATATATATATATATATATATATATATATAGATATAGACATTCTGTTCTGTATATATATACGTATATATATGTGTGTGTGTGTGATATCAGATTAAACGTAAAAGACTTATTTATCACTAAATTTTAGTGGACCAATATATATATATATATATATATATATATATATATATATATATATATATATATATTCATCACTGACAGATCGTTTCGTTGTATCACAGTTTTGCAGTGTCGCTAGTTACACGATTTCTTCGAGCCAGGATCGAAAGAGCGGGAAAAAGATAGAACTCACTGAGATAGATAGATAGATAGATAGATAGATAGATAGATAGATAGATAGATCTAAATAAACTGATTAAGCAAGACAAGCTTTTTAATCAATATACCTTGCCGAAATACAAAAGTATAGATATATTTAGATCCATTGACTGAGAGATAGGAATAGATAGATAGATAAATAGATAGATATCGACTGCAATACACACACACACACACACACACATATATATATATATATATATATAGAGAGAGAGAGAGAGATTTATTTTAATTTAGGTTGTATAACAGTATTTATTTTTTTATTTCATTGCAATCTTTATAGGTGATTGAAAGGTAGTCTCATTAGTTCAATCACGTCGCTCTCTAGACGTGTATGTTCGCATGTGTGCAAGTATCTGGGGTTTTTTTTGTGTGTGCTCTAACTTCACTGTGTTCGCGCGCATTTCTCTGCGTATGTTGGTGTGTGTACATTGATGCTATTTCTATTACATCCCCCATTTCAAGAATGTCACCCATATAATAGACTTGAAACCTTTCAAGAACGGCTCCAAGGTAAATTGAACCGTTCGTATGGCTTTACGAAGAAACATTATGCGTCAAAACGTCTGGTGACGGTTTTCGTATCATATGGAATCAAGAAATGAGGAAAATATAATTCTAGCCGTTTAGACATCCCCAGTAAATATCAACGCAATCCCTTCTGAATGGGTTAAGGTTTTTTTATTACAGAGGGCATCGCGATAATCTACATTCTGCAGTAAGTCCTTTCGTCGGGAGCTTAAAAGTTTACAGAGCTTGGAACCACCTCAGAATGACTATTGTTCCCAAGCGCGCTCTGACACGGGGTGGCATTACCTGTTAGGGTCCAAGCTACAGGCAAATAAGGAAACCTAAACACATATCAGCAGTCCATTTTTATAGTCTAAAAATATATACACCATGGTGCAAATTAATTGAAACAACCGCTTTAGTTTCCTTTCTTTCACGTTACGGTTAGTTTTAGACCCACTTGAATGACTGGGTGTACTCGATTTCCATTTTATCCTCAGATTAGATCATTTACTATGGTATGCAGTGATATGAATCTAATTTCGGGGTGTATGATTAAATTTGTTTAGCCTTGAAAAATACTGCGTCATCCGTGATTGCATCAGATTTTAATCACGCCTGATACTATTGTCTCGACTGTCGATTAGTTGCAATACTACCATTGTCTGCGGTTGATGTTACTTCGAGTTAGCGTACGAAAATTGTAACGCTGTAAGAAAACAACGTCAAGCTTTACCAGTCAGCTTATCAATGTACTATCAACTGGCTCGCAAACTCTCCTGATTTAAATCGAATCAAAAATTTGTAGTCAATCTTCAAGAAAGACTTCGTGAAATGGACATACGAAGTACTAACATGCGCCCTGGGTCATGTTTCATTGATAAAATACAAAAAAGTAAATTATAACGGAATTATTGGTTTGGTTTCAATAAATTTAACACAAGGTTGTTTATATCTAAAAACACTTATGGTATAAAATTATGTTCAAAATATATGTAGTTGAAACCATAATATTACGTTTAAAATATTTAAATTTCAGCATTAAATAATTCACAGAGGTTCAGCCAAGCAAAACCAACCAACCAATCAAACAGAATGAAAGAATTCTTTCATGACATTATTCCACATAATATCCTACAATTTCTCATAGAAATCCAACTGCATTCCAAGATATAACTTCATCAAAATAACATAAAACAAACATATCACTCCTACTGGTTATCATGTTCGCAAAAAACTACAAGGTTCGATTTATATTTTAAATTTCGCGCATGCGCATTGTTTGTTTTTAATTTTGTCGACTGCGCAGTATAGTTGGGTAAGTTGAACACCCTTTATTCCCCACGGCTGAAATCTGGAAACGGCATGCTGTACTGCTTGGCATTCGCGCCGGAAGCTCTAATACGAACATTTCAGCGTGTTTGGATGTCCATCTGAGGACAGTGCAGAATATCCAATGCAATTAAATGAGTCTAATGGTGATTACGAAGGTACGGCAGCTCATTTTGATAAGAAACAAACCCCCAATTTTGCTTGAAAGGACCTCAGATTCAACACGGAAGCCTACATCAATTGCTTTGATGAAGTAGTGCTGCCCTGTGTCAAAGTGTGGCTGCTTGGAGGCCCCTATGGCAGGTAACAGGATTTGACCATACCACACCAAATGGAGAATCCAGTCATGGCTGTCAGAAAGATTTTGCCACCACTTACATCTGGTCACCTAACTCCCCAGACTGCAACCACCTTGAGTACTATGTCTGGGGTGCAATGATCGAGAGACAACAAAATTCCTTGTAACATCAAAGAAGAACTTAAAGCAAGGATTATTGCAGCCTTCACCAAATTAAACAAGGAGACCGTCCAGAAGAGATGCAGGAGATTCCGAAGTCGTCTGGGGGCGATGTTGACGCCAATGTCGATTTTATTGAATACATTTCCTTTTTTTTATATTTCAAGATATTTTTGTGTAATTTTGGTAAATATATCTCTTAAAATAAGACGTCAATTTTATTTTAATTTTTGAACCATTTCGGCGACAATTTATCAATCGCATCTGTATATATGCTCAAAATTTAAGTATCATCTACCATGTATTCAATTGTGAAAGCAGAATAACATATATCTTATTTTTATTACTTCAAATTTCCCAAGAAAATTAAATTTTGACGTTAAATGACCCATAAGGTATTGATGTGCCTTAAATTTTGGAAGGCATATTTTAGCTAACGCAATTCGTCTTACGATTTCAGTGACACATTTTTCATCCTCTGCTGAAATATTTCCTAAGTATTAAAAAATGTCCATTTTCATTATTGGATCTCAAAGGAGTCATACCATTCCGGAGAGCATTTGTGTTAAAACGAACGAAATAGACAGAGCAAGAATACAAATGCGGGTCGATGATTTTGAATTTTATTTCCGCCAAAACATTCGCACAATTCTCTCTCTCTCTCTCTCTCTCTCTCTCTCTCTATATATATATATATATATATATATATATATATATATTTATTATTAAAACGCAGATTGTGTGTGTGTGTGTGTGTGTGTGTGTGTGTGTGTGTTTATATGTTGGATCGAATTTCCTACATTTTTTAGCCGATTTCAACAAAACTTCACAGGACTACATGAAATTACCTTTTGGTGGTTCCAACGGGGCCGAAAATGGGAAAAAACACAGTTGTTTTTTAATAAAATCAATTTGAAAACACGATTAAGACACATCGTGAGAACGAAAGGGGGACAACTCACCCACGAAAATGTAAACAAAGGAGCATAGCATGATGAAAAAGACGCCGAACTTGACGAAAACAAAATTTTATCGTCTAATGTTCATATTATTATTAAAGAGGAAAGATCAAAGTATTTTGGGGGTATTTTTCTACATTTTTTAATCGTTCCTAGCACGTCTGAAATTTTCGTTAAAAATATCGTTTTTTTTTTTTGGTCAAAAATAAGGACAGATAATCATTTTCAATCATTTTTTTCGATTTGATAAAAAATATTAAAATCTTACTTTGATATTCTTTTAAAAATCAATTATCATTTTTTCAAAACTGATTTTAATAAAAACAGAAATTATACTGTTTATTTAAAATATTTTGAACCAAGCTTAACTTAGCTTCTGCGCCGAAAAAATGTAATTTGAAAATAAAACAAAGCAGGTCATAACCTTTCGCGTCGCTTGACGATTGACGAAAGGCACATTCATGACGTTTCAATAAGTTACGGGAGGAGAATTCTTTCTACGGATGGAAGGAAGTGAAATTATTTAAGTGAACAAATTATTTATCTTGTTACTTTTAAGGAAAACTTTCAGCGCTCTAATTTTTTTATTTTTTTAAATTTTTTTTTGTACTTAGCTTTCATTTTTACGTTTACGATGCTTTATGGAAAATATAAAGAAATTAAAAAATAAGACTGTTAATAGTGAGATTAAATTTCATAAGAAAAAGTTATCTAATTAATTTAGGTACCTTTCTTATGAAATTTTATCAGAAGTGTACATAAAATAATATAATTTTATGTACATTTATTACATTTTACTGTGTTATTTGTATTTCCATTCATTTTATTATTAATTTTGATATTTCATTTATGGAAAAATGTCATAACTGAGATTAATATAAAAATAAGATCATATAAATTAAAGTTTAGCAGTAGTTAAATTTCATAAGATGACACTGTTACTTGTAGGTACCCTTCTCAGTTGAAATTGAAAACTCAAATTAACTTCTCCATACGTGTTTCGCAAAAAGTAAAGGGGCTTAACAGCGGAGAACAATGCTGAACTCAAATAATGCAACTAAATTGTATTCTGGTTGGTCTTCCGTACTTGATAATTACTGTCCGACTATAAACACAAAAATTACATTTCTTAATTACCATGGCTAATCTGATTGGTCCAAATTATACAATTTTCAAAGCGCTAGACAATGACAATCTCACACGGACATTTTGAAAGGTTGATGTTGCTTTTAACTAATGTTAAATTATTTTTTAAATTCAATTTAAACATTTTTAAAAATCTTTTTTAAAATTAAAGAAATAAGAAATAATTGTATTAAAAATTCAATTTTCATTGAAAAAATTTTTTGCTTTCAGAAAATATTGTCCATATTCATAAAAACAAATTAAAACAAATAAAAGCATTTGAAACTAAATAATATATTTGTTTTATTGAGTTTTGTATGTTACAATTCACAGCTGATTTTCAGGTACGTTGGCCAAAAAAAAAACATGATTTGCATTCTTCAAAGCCTTGTGCTTTTAACTATTGTAATCACTAAAACCGATGGTCTCGAATTTCTAGAGTTTTTCATAAAATTAGTTATGGGGGTGATAATAAATATAAAAAAATATTTCTGCCATGACTTTAATAAAAAAAAAAAAACATATTTTTAATAATTTCGATCATCTCTGAATAGTTTCTGAAAGTTTCATTAACTTCTGACAATTATTTTTATTTTTGCAAGATTTTCCAAATTAATGTGTGTAAATACAAAAAAACGCGCTAAAAATTATCTGTTATTTACTACCCCTTGTTGCGACAAAGAGAAACAAGGTTTTTTAAATCAAAATTTAGAATAGTCTAAAAAGATGGAAAAATTTTAAAAAAATAATTAAAAAAAAATTTAGTCTAACCTCTTCATAAAAACATAAGCATTTTGACGATAAAATTTTGTTTTCATAAACTTTGGTGATTCCGTGGAATGACTTAGGTTAAAAAAAACCAGGTTGTGTGTGTGTGTGTGTGTGTGTGTGTGTGTGTGTTTGTATATGTGGGATCCTTTATATATGGGATCGGATTTCTTACATTTTTCAGCCGATAAAACAAACATCAATTTTTTTTCGGCAGGTAGTATTTCTTATTGTCTTGCACACTTTTTTCTTTATTTACATTCAGAATGCTTTTAAAATTCCATTTACAAGACAATTGTTTATAATAAAATTCTATTCACCAATCGATAAACTCATACCGATTGTAAACAATGTTTTTGTTTCAATTTGGGTTTGACCAATTCGTAAAAAAACAAAACAA